AGATAAAATACAAATTAAATCAAAACTTTCCATCCTTCGATGAAAGACAAAGTCCGAAATGAATGTCATATAAATAAAAGGGACCTACTAAATATACCACCTACCGTTACAATTTTTCATTCTTCATTTCGGTACCAAATGCAAATTTTTCAAGTAAAATTCATCGATCACTTCAAAATCGACTCTTNTTTTTTCAAAATTTTTTCAAAGATTTTTGCCAAGTTTGAGATAAGGGAAATTGGTCTATAGTTTGACACGTCAGTTCTGTCACCTTTTTTATATACAGGATTTATTACCGCAGTCTTGAATACCGAAGGGCATTCTCCTGCAAAAAATGTGAGGTTAATGATGTAAGTTAGGGGTTCAGCAATTTCACGCGCTATTAGTTTTAAAGTTTCAGATCGAATACCATCGATTCCTGGAGATTTCTTATTTTTTAATTCAGGCATTGTTTTCAAGACCTCAGACTGAGTAGTTCCTTATATATTATATCATAGATCTGATGATTCAATTTGACGGACGCCATTTTTGTTTTTATTGTTGTCAACTCGGTGTGGATATATATAATTACTGAACGTTATTTTGTAAAACGTAGGTCTCGGCGGGTACCTATTTTGCTGCATATTCCGTGTCATTAGTTTACATTTCGAAAAATATTTTTGCAGGTTATATTTAGATTGATATGTTCTGGAGTAATTCTACATTTCACTGTACATATTTTTGCTTCTCTTTTCAGTCACCATACTGCTCCTTAGCCGAGATAGAATAAAAATTAAATCAAAACTTTTCATCCTTCGATAAAAGACAAAGTCGGAAATGAATGTCATATAAATAAAAGGGACCTACTAAATATACCACCTACTGTTTCAATTTTTCAAGTAAAATTCATCGGTCATTTCAAAATCGCCGCTTGGTAAGCTGTCGGGAGTCAGCTTTAACAAAACTGGGCTCAACATTCATTTTGAAATTATTTTAACAAAAATACGAAGTTTGTGGAAACCATTGACATTAGAAATATTTTTATTAAAATATTCATTTTGAAAATTGCATGTTCCGGATCATTAACAGAAATTTCGAACATAGATGGAAGTTCTTGGGGTGATGCGATCACACGACAAATCGGGGACACTAGCAGATACCAGGTGGATTAACAAATACGAACCGCAAGATATAACTGCCAGGTATAGAACTTTATGCAAAAAAAAAAACAAAAACACGGGGACAAGTTCCAATCTCAAAATCTTTGCAGACTCGTTGAACATTTCTTTTAGGGCGTTCTCATTTTCGGCGTTTATAAACATAACCTGATTCATTACATCTCGGAAAATACATTCAAAATGTTTACCACTCCTCATATTTATATACTAAGTGACAAAGGAAGGTAAACACCTATTTGAACATATTTATATTGAGAATATTTCAATAATGTTTTGCCTGTGTACTCATGTTGATGCCAGTAAAAAGTCAGTAAAATTTCAGCCGTATCGAAAGTTATTCTGACCAGTTTTTCAACTGTTGAAGATTTTGTTGTAAAGTATTTCGTATTGTAACAAATCAAAGAATTAACTGTCTTAAACAAATTTATTTTCAACAATATTTCACTATCACAAACTAATTTATTCACAACAATTAGCAACTAAGCCTTAATTCATTTCCACTATTTGAATTCCTTGTTTACCGCTCGATTCACTTTCTGAACTCAACTGCCCTCTCGGGGCGAGAAGCCAGCCTTATATATCGGTAACGATCGTTCTAGAATTCTTTTATCGTTTCGGTATTTAACTAGAGTTTAATCGTCGGTTGCCGACTGCATTCCTTTTGCGCTGGCCGACATATCGGTCAGGGGCGGCTTCAGATTCGTTACATTGCCCCCTTCTTAAAGACCTTTCGCCACGAAATGTCATTCTTGGCGTGTGTTGATACCTGCAGGACTCCCCATATCTGCACTGTGAAGTTAGATGGAAGTCTTCATGCTCGGTCGTGGAAGATGATTACCCCACACCAAAATCTTGATGCCGCTGGATCTGAATATCGTTTTCAACATGCTTCTCACAATTCTGCAACCTAGCCTGTCGAGCTCAGAGGCTAATTTCGGGATTGCCAAATACACGAGATTCTGGTCGAGCATCGTGTCCCTCAGTTTGGTAAGACTCCTCCAGACATCTTCAAACTACTCATTTCCTTGAAGTCTGAGGAGTTCTCAGACACCAGTGATGACAGAATGAAGTCGATGGGGACCAGATCTGAAGGATACGGTGGATGCGGAAGCAGTTCAAAGCTCAATTCGTGCAATTTCGTCATTGTTTTTGTTGATTTGTGACACGGTGCATTTATGGAACAGTACTTCCTTTTTGGTCACCAAGAAGCAAATATTTTTCTGACCCTTCTTCAACTGTAGTACCTCTCCGACTTCAGTGTTGAGAGCTGTCCGAATTTCTTGTTGAATACCACAGCGATATCCCTGGTCATTTGGAGATCCTCTGCAGTGAGCTAGTGCGTAATCAACTGGTACTTCGAAAAAGTCTCGTGGTTCTTTTTGAGTTACCCCATGTAGCACCTTCTGTCCGTTCGAGTATAAAGACATGAACTTCTGGAACGTCATTCCATCCTCTGTTGGTCGTGATTTCTAGCATAAGAAGCCAATCTATCAAAATGGACGACCTTCTGGGTTCGGTAGACAATTATCTTCGTAATTTTTTTATGAACCTTCCCACGAGTTCCGCAACTTCGGTGATAAACCACGGCGTCGCTTAGGGTTGCACAGCCAAACTAGGTCACCGGTTTTGAATTCTGCAGCATTCGCCTTGATGTCATAGACCTTCTTCATCCTATCGCTGGCACTCCAGATGTTCATACGAACTCGTTAATGGATGTCGTCCGTCGTCCATTTTCTGCCGAATTTACAACATGAGTTAGAGGTAGGGTGGAATAAGATACCCCAACAGAATATACACCCCCTTATCAGGACAATACCCAGAGTATCCACCGGTGTATAAGACATCGAGGATCTGCAACACACTACTGAACTTCACTGGTTTCACGATCATCCAGTTTCTCTGAAAACTTACTTGTTTGTTGGCTATTATCTGCCAAATCTGCCTTCGAGAGCGAGACAACGATTATAGGGGCCATACAGTTTTTCAATAACATTTGTATAGAACTATCAGTGTTTCGACAATTACTCTTTCAACGCGCAACATTTCTTTCCAGAGAGCATTTTTTGAGGTCTGAGAAGGTCTCAGATGCCAATGAGAACAGAAAAAAGTCGCTGGGGACCAGATCTGAAGGATACGGTGGATGCGGAAGCAGTTCGAAGCCCAGTTCATGCAATTTGGGCACTGTTTTTATTGATTTGTGACTTCGATAAAGCTATGTTGATGATTTTTCCTTTACAAAACAGTCGAAGAATATTATACTATGCGCATCCCAAAATACTGATATAACCTTGCTAGCCGACTGTTGCGTTTTTGTACGCTTTGGAGTCGGTTTACCACTTGCAGTCCACTCAGATAACGATCGTTTTGGTTCTAGTGTGAAATGTTGAAGTCATGTTTCATCCATTGTCAGATATCGACGTTTGAATTCGGTTTTTTATGGTGGAACAACTTCAAACACTGCTCAGAATCATCAATTCGTTATTATTTTTGGTCGATAGTGAGCTCGCACGGAACCCACTTTGAACACAGCTTTCAGATACCCAAATATTCATGCACGATATGTCCAACACGATCATTTAATATCTTCAGAGCCTCAGCTATCTCGATCAACTTCACTTTGTGGACATCCTCTTTGGATCGTCTACTGTGTGCGTCGTCCTCACCACACAGTAATTTTTTTTTCGCCAAAAAGCAATGTTTTATCAACACACTAAATTCCTTTTTATCCATTTACTTCGAACTAACAAAAGTTGCTGCACTCGAAATATTCTATCCCACAAACTAATGATCTGACAGCTGTGAAATTTGTACGCGTGTCTTTTGAAGGGTCAACTACAAATCATATGGATCTAATACTAGTAGCGCCATATATGTCTGCCCATGAATTTTCCAGCACTCCTTATATTCATATGGTCTGAAGGGAAATCCATATTTTTTGTTCAAATTCAGCTGGTTAAGAATTATCAGCCTCATTTTATTGTTGCATCTTTATTATTTGATTTTCTTCTGTTCAGAGCATATATACAAAGGCTTGTATTTCCAGATGTTTCGACTAATATTTTATTTCACATCAATTTGCATGGTTTCAAATACAGGTTGGCCAAATGAGAACGATATATAGTCATCATCATGAACTGTGTCAATGTTTTGAAAAAACGTAGAAGCTCGTCAATGTTTAAATGAGGAGACACATTGTTTTTCAGTATGTTTGACTTCATCACTTTCACTTCCAGACGAGGGTGGAAATCACCCAAAAACTTTCAAATGGCGTGGAAAGTAAAATTGATTTTGGAAAAATTCACGAATTATTGGATGAAGAATTGGATTTTCTTTGCGTATTCTTCAAAAACAATGTTGGACTGTTGTCCACCATCAGTACAACTGATGAAGCTACCGTGTAGCGAAACATGTCTTCAACAGAATTTATTGTGTTATTGTAAAAATTGTATGATTATCATCATGGATGGATTCAATAGGGATGGTTTATACTCTGTGCCATAGAAAAAAGACTTTAGGTCAGTTGTGAATGATGGCCCCAAAATCAGCCAATATTGTATTTGACGATCTTCGAAAATAATAACCAGTTAGTTCACTTATAGATCTGATTTGGCGATATCATGAACAAGGAACATTTTTGGTTCACCTTGTCTCCTTGTCTTATCCATTTACAAACAATATAAATAATTGATGGTATTATCACTTTTATTGTTATTAATATTGATGTCATATTTTTATTATTATTTTCAGTCCATATACAAGTTATGTACAAACGGATATTTTCTTCAATAATCATGAAGAACAATCGAATATTGATTCAATTCTGATATATTTTTTCATTTTCAGTCATGGAGAAGATCTCATCGTCACTCCTTTTGCACAAATTCTTGCCAGTTTACGAAGCGTGCGAAACAACTTCCTGTCTCTCACCAATGTGCCCCTTAACAAGTAAGTACAACAGTATATTATTATTGTAATAATAAATTCTCCATACATGGGAAGAAACAACAATTCAATAATATCTGAACTGAAGGTTTATGCGATCTAGGTAGCGGTGGATCAATGGAGAAATTTGCTCCGAACGTTTTGCACATAACTGCGTAGACTTCTTCAGAGGTAATTAATAGCAATGCGTTCTGACTTTGTTGCTGAACTTGTTAATCACTTTACTAACGGGAAGGGCGAAATAATACATTGCTAGGTAGCTGCGGCTCGAAAAAAAAATTGAACGATTTGTCCTAGCTGGAATAGGCATCTCCAACGGTAGTTGGCAGCAATTCGTTGTGACCTCTTTGTTGGTAGACTTAGTAACGAGTCAATCTTTCCATTGGATCGAGTTTGTCTACCCTGGATAACCGAAGTTCCCATTCGGTAAAAGAAACTGTTTTAAAATCGGAATGTTGCGAATTTGTAACCCATTTCGAGCTGATTCTGCTAATTATGTAGACTTGCCGAAAATATTTAAGCTGCATATGATCTTCAGGCAATATAAAATTTGTTATTAGTCAATGGGTTATTCTTGAAGACTGGCAGTAAACAAATCTATAGAAATGAACTTTAAACGTTCAAACCAGTCTCTAATATACCTACACAGTAGGTTGAATGGACTGACGCCTATCAGAAAACAACTACTCCCCTGGCTAATACCACGAAGGGCGTTGGAGTCAGAAGTTAAGTGTTGAGAAAGCAAGTTAGAAACTAAAGGTAGGGTTTCAGATTTTGGAACAGAAGTGAACAAGTTACTAACATCAAAGGATATCATGATATCCTTTGATATCCTGACTCCACCAAAACAGATATATTAACTTTACTTAAATTTTGCATTTCCCAAGATTTTTTTGTCTTTAACAATAAATTTTACAGTCAACCTGAAGGCCTAGCAATAGGTAACCCTCTTTCACCTTTCCTGGCTGACATTTTCATGGAAAATTTAGAAAATTCATTCATAATTAAAAATGTCACTCCATCTAGTGGACGAGGTACTAACCAACTGCATATCCGTAATTGGCCCGATTCATCTGAATATTCTGCACTGACGCCTGTCGGATATAATCCAACGCCCTTCGTGGTATTAGCCAGGGAAGTAGTTGTTTTCTGATAGGCGTCAGTCCATTCAACCTACTGTGTAGGTATATTAGAGACGTGCTTGAACGTTTAAAGTTCATTTCTTTAGATTTAATATAGAATTTGTTCTTATGTTCCTATTCATGTGGGCGAGTTAGCTGTCTAGAATCAGTTTTGTAGCTTTTCAGCAGAATGTTTAAAATAACGCAAAATTATCGAGTCAATCTCTCCAATGGTTCAAGTTTATCCGGCTCGGATAACCAAAGTTCCAATTTGGTAATAAACACTGTTTTTGAATCTGTTGTTTGTAACTCAGTTCGAGGTAAAAAATGAGAAATGAAACTATCTATGTTTCTTTACCACTTTTATTTGTAACTAACCTTACTGCAGTTCCGTCCTATATGGACATTTTCAAACTAATACAATAAACTGTTCATTATGACATTGCCATGACTGTAGAAAGGATGAAAGTATGGCGAGTGAAGAAGTGGGTCGCAATGATTCAAGGAATGATTGAGGAAAGGAGAGAAAGGGTAGCCCCCCGTCGTATGGCAAAAGGGACACGAAATCAGCAATGTGGAAAATGAAAAAGCACACAACGAAGCTGCCAAAGAAATGAATAGTAAGAATGTGGAGCGAGAAGAGAATGGAAGGATGTATTATAGGTTATTGGCAATGGGAATGGAAGAGTGGCACAACTGGACGGGGCTGTTTCACAAGTTCTGTGAAGCAGTTTCGTTTCTCTCTCTATAATTTTTAAAGGAGAGACGCGCCCTAATGCAGGCAACGGACAGGCACATGCCAGAACGGGAACAGGACCATGCACCTGCCGTACATGGTCCGTCGGGAGAGGAAATAAGAAGAGGATCCGAGCAGGAAGGAAAGAAAAAAGGTGGGGAAACAGGACGCGTTATCTTGCCTTGCCGTAGTGTGCGAAGAAGTTGAAGGCAGGTAAAGGACTAGCAAGGAACAGGCCACGTCCTGTCATGTTCCCGTCGTGTGCTTATCGGTAATGGCCACTTTTCGGGATATTTGGCCAGGTTCAACCTTAGATGGAGGTGCCGTGCTTCTGTGGTTATGGGGAGCCTGTAATGGTAGATCATGTGACCAAGAGATTTACAGATAGCGACAGAATTGGATGAGCGAATGGAAAGAACGCATGAAAGGAGAAAATTGAAAGATTATATTGAGAGCAGAGAACGGAAGGAAGGTCGCGTGGATCCGATTTGTGAACTAATTGGTAGATAATGTGGTGAGAGATGAACGAGAAGGATGATTGGTAAGCTGCCTTCTTACCGCTGATTGAAAGAACGGCAGGGAGAGCTTTATCAATAATCTCTCCAATCAGGGAGAGCACAATGATAGGATTGTATATACAGGCTGTAACTAAATGAGTGTAAAACATTCAAGGAGATGATTTCTCATCGAAAAAAAGATAGGATCTTTCATATAGAGAAATTTCATTGGAGCATCCCTTGTTAAGATACAGCCCCTTAAAGGGGGTACATAAAATTTGTATAACAATTTTTTTCACAAGCACTGAAAAAGTTACAATATTGAAATCAACATGACCGTTTTGTACTTCCAAAAAGACACTTAGCCAGAAATTTATTTGGTTGTAAGGGGTGGAAAACGCAACCCCTAAAATTTATTTCCAATGTAACTTTTTGTCTTGTCATTTGTTTACCATTTAAAAATGTATTTCCGATAGCCTGTTTAATTCTAAACAAAGAATGTCTACTGGGTTTTTTACCCAAAATAAACCAGTTGGCAGCAAAAAATCATTTTACGAACAAATACAGAGATACATCATCATAAATGCGAACTGGATTTATTGTTATTTTGTAGTTAGTACCTGCATTAAACGATTCAAGGAGATGATTCCTCATCGAAAAAAAAAAGGACCTTTCATATAGAGAAATTTAATTGGAGCATCCCTTGTTAAGATAAGACCACAATCCTGCGTTCTTTTGTCGAATGAACCATATTCTCGTAATCGTTGATGAAGTCGAGCAAATATTCTATCTGAAGGATGCTGCCATTGAGGATACATTTCAGCATATCTTCTAGAAGCTTCTAACCCATTCCCCTGCGACAGACCGTAAACGTAATTCATATCAGCCATTTCCTCATTTGTGTATGTCATTTCGATAACAAGTGAATTATTAAAGTAACAAATTAAGAACAGAACAACAACACACAATAAATATTATTTCAATTTCGAAAATTCACAAACTGACAGCGTTATACCAATTTAATTGTCACTATCGCTAATAGCGACCTACTTGATAGATTAGTTTCGTATTTCACCTTGGGGTGAACCAAATACATTTCTTGCTAGGTGTCTTTTTGGTAGTACAAAACGTCAGGTAAATTTCAATATTGTAACTTTTTCAGTGCTTGTGAAAAAAATTGTTATACAAATTTTATGTACCCCCTTTAAGGGGCTGTATCTTAACAAGGGATGCTCCAATGAAGTTTCTTTATATGAAAGATCATATCTGTTTTTCGATGAGGAACCACCTCCTTAAATGTTTTACACTCATTCAGTTACACCCTGTGAAGTGCCAGGGTAATGTCTTCTAAAATTTCTCATATTTTTTGTAAAGTAGAAAATCAAAAACGTACTTTCAAAATATATTGATTTTTGATGCATTTCACTTTGACTAATTAGCAGTGTAGATGAGAACAAAATTTCACCACTTACATGTTCTTCAATCAGATTGAAAACATAATATATTTTCCTAGTAAAATAAAATGTCAGGAGTCTGTAAGCAGAAGCCTTCATTATAGGAATGAAAGTGAAATTGATGGGCGATTAAATAACAAGTAATATTTATTTCACAGGAATCCTTCAGTTTTACATGTCGTAAAGCAACTCACTTCGATGATTTATTTGATATACCCGTTGAATTTACGAGAGCTATATATTCGGCGTAATGTGTTTTTGAGAGTGGAAACAAACATTGGTTTTGAAGAGCGCTATTTTCTTTGTTGGCAGTGATGTTATCTGTTAGGAGAGGCTTCAAGGAAATAAACACACACATGATGATTTTCTCACGGTCGCAGAATAGAAAACTCACAATTATTGGGAAACAAATATTTTGGCTTTCTAATTCTGTATCTTGATATAAAAAAAGGACAGATAGATGTGTTCTTCGCGTGATAGAATTTTCTAGATTTTTTAAAACATTTTTTTTACATTTTGAAACAGGGTTATAATCATATTTGTTGTTTATTGATATGTATGATACTCATGAAATATGTTCAAGGCTTTTTTCTGAAATCAAATCAGAATGATCAATTGATCATTCATTTGACGAATATAGGTTCTGAAAAACATTTTTGCGGTTCTGTCGTTTCGATAGATTTCAAATATTTATCTTTTCGTCAACCCGATTCTTCAATATGTATTCGAGAATCAGTTTTTCATTGTGTCAAGGCTATTTTCCAGCTTTTCTTGGCCATGGTCTACGAGTTTCTATGCCCAAAGTTTCGTCTACTTCTGCAGTAGATATTATCGACATATAGACATTATCAAAAGTGATGAGGTAACGGTTGAAGTGTGCTCTGTTTATGTACAATTGAGGATAGGTGCCCAGGTTTTTCTAATGGTTATTGTCTCTTTCTTTCTCTCTCTACCCCCCTCTCTCTCTCTATAGATAGAGAGAGATATAGATATATATCAGCAGTTTCTTCGTAGTAGGTCAATACGTTCAACCTGATTTTTAAAAGACTACAAGGATGAGTCAAACGAATCAATATAGTTGCTATTCATATTTGCTAACTTAAGCATTCTAGTGATGGTTTCAGTTAAGCCATAGCTAGTAGAATGATAAGGAACTTTGAACAACTCCGACACTCTGGTTCTTCTTGAATTCATA